ATTGACCCGCAACCCGACTGACCCGCAACCCGATTAACCCGAACCCGATTGACCCGAACCTGACTAACCCGTAACCCGACCGACTCAACCCGAATTTCATCTAATCCACTTGAATAATTATGAAATGATACAATACATAGTTTTTCAAAATAAAGTTTTTCATTCTAAACTTAAGTAAAATTATTTTTTCATTTCGTATAGGAAATTTAAAAAATATGAAACTCACTTGATATTACGTATTTTAAGAAAATTACAAAAATTGAAACATGAAGGTCACTTGAGATCATGACAATATTAATATAATATATAAATTAAAATTTTGATTAATTTAACTATTCAATTAAATTATCAATTAAATATAAATAAAGTAAAGTAATGTATTTGGTAATTTGATGTTTTTAAATGAAGAGGGAAATTTTGGTGTATTCAAGTTTTTGGGAAGAGAAAGAAGAGGGAAATTTGGTTCTTTGAATTTTTTAGAAAAGAAACAAGTGGGAATTTTGGTGGTTTTGATATGTGGGAAGAGAAAGAAGTGGGAACATTTGATTCTATTGATTATGAAAGAGAAATAAGGAGGGAAACTTTTGAGTTTTCAACTTTTTGTAGAAGGAAAGAAGAGGGTAAGTTGGTTCTTTCAATTTTATGGAAGAGAAAGAGGAGGGAAAATTAAGTTTTCTAATGTATGGAGGTAGAAAGAAGGAGGGAAATTTTAGTATTTTTGTGAAAAGAAAGAAGGAAACAAATTTGATGTTTTCAATTTTTTGGTTTTTCATAATTTTAGCTTTTGAAATATGAATCTTTAACTTTTATATGGAGGGCACGACTAGTTAAAATTATTCTTATATGCTTTGAAGGCTAATATATATATGTATGTAATTGTTTATGGGCTAATAAATAAATTAACCATTAGTTACAACAAGTTATACTAAACTTGATAAGTAATCTTTGACGGTTCGTTGTTTAGGATATAAAGTATATGGTTAGGGTATAAGGTACATATGGTTTAGGGTGTATATGGTTAGGGTATAAGATATTGATGGTTTTGACGGTTCTAAGTTTTTTATTAACATATGTTCACTTGAAGTCATTTGAAGTCTTTAACAGCAGGAGATCCCTTTTTAATTTATGTTTATGGTACGTGCTTAGGGTACAAGGTATGTGGTGTAAAGTATAAGATATATGGTTAGGGTATAACAATTAGCAAATATCACTTTTTATCTATGTTTTGAAAATCAAAGTATGAATTTCACTTTTAAATTAACTATACTAGCAAAATCACAACTCAAAGACATATGATTAGGGTATAGGGTATAGGTTATGTGGTTAGTGTATAATGTATTGATGGTTTAGGGTATACAATCAACAACATATACTAACTTAATATTGTTGATTGAGGGTAAGGCAAAGTGTATAGGATATATGCTATTGAGTAAGTTATGATTGAAGTAACAATAATTTTACTAAATTTGATAGCTAATCTTTAATGGTTCAATTTTTAGGATAATTCGAACAATTTTACAAATAACTCGTTTGGCAACAGTTTACTAAAGTTATTTGGGCAATGAGTTATTTCGAAATGACTCCTTTTATCACTATGCTTTTGCCAAATACCACACACCAAATACCAGATTTGCATGGTTATACTAAACGAGATACTTTGATCAATTACTACTGAATTAATACTAAAATATCAAATAAACAATTAATGTTGTTTTTTGGTTGCAAACATTGTTATCACCATTACTATTAGCTATAATACTTTACCAATTATGATTAATTACATAACAAGTTTGCAAGTAATACAAATTGATTTAACATTTTGACTAGTTTTTTTCAAAAAAATAAAATATATATATACGACATAGAAATAAATTGGTTAAAAAGTTGAGAAAATATTTTAAATTAGTGTAATAAAATGTGTAAGTTGGTAATGAGTAATGAGTTAAGTTACATGATGCGCTGGCCCGAACAACCCGAAACCCGATCCGCCCGCAACCCGCCCGACCCGCAACCCGATTTGCCCGCAACCCGATTGAACCCGAACCCGATGAACCCGCAACCCGACTAACCGGCAACCCGTTTGAACCCGAACCCGATGAACCCGCAACCCGACTAACCCGCAACCCGTTTGAACCCGAACCCGATTGAACCCAACCCGAACCCGCCCGATTGACACCTATAATCATAGGTGACCCTGGCACCCTGCTAAGTATTGAGAATTGTTAATATAGACATATCGCAGTCTCACTTATGAAGTAGAGCATAGAAAAATTAGAAGATTAAGAAAGTTTTAAATGTATAGATAAATTAATTGATATGAATGATAAAATGAAATTCTCCGGCCAACGAACCGTGTAAAAATCTAGTTCATATTATTTTTCGGCCAAGCAATCAAGACCACCTCTCATAAAGTCGAACTTGCCCATCTATAGACTGGAAAAGTGGACATCCACCCCAATGGATGTCAAAGCCCAAACTAATAAGCCCACCATTATTAGTCACAGCGAAAGTAGGAGCCCGAGGCCCATAATGTCACGATTATTGTCAATACTATGGTGTCGCTGCCTCTGATTGGTCCATGTGAGCAATGACGTAGCGTTGATTGCGTTATTCAATCCAAGCCCAACCTGATAGCCCATGAACCAGCCGAAATTGCTATTGGCCAAACAAACGGAGAATTTTGTTTCCATCTTGACTATTGATTCGTTTATCTATTCAATGTTTCTTTTCCAATTAATTAATTAGAACATGAAAACGAACAGAGTCGTCTTCCTCCCTCTCCTGCTCCGGTGGACTGTGATAACAATAAAGGGTTTCGTCTCTTTGCCTTCAATTCACTCTCGAATCCCCTCCACTAAATAGCTTCCCTGTATTCCTTCTATATTATGTAGAACAAATACGAATAATCCCTCATTCTGACCGGACGTTGGCTTCATCGTACTGCTCTGCCGCCACCGTATCCGACCATCTGAAGGCAAAGAAAAAGGCAATCGCCACCCTCTGCGCCGTCCCCGTTGCTCAACCCTCTCCCTGTTGGAATCGTGGAAACTGAATCCGAAGCAAATTCAACAAAAATTAGAACAATTACAATAAGAACATACAGTACTCTACACCTTCAGATTCTCCAGGGAATCCATAAATGGTACTCATCTTCTATGAGTCTCATTATGCATACAACGTCAAAAGTAGGTTTCTCTTCTCGTGGCAGCACTACCGACCCCATATTGAGATGAATCCATTGACTTTCAAATGGTCATATAGCTATTTCAGGATGTGTATACTTTGACTGCAGTATCATCTTCCTCAGACTTCATGCTGTAACCATATGGCAGTTTCATCAAATCTGAATTAGACATCATCTGCAAAGTAAATGACAAGTGAACACCAATTGGTACTGAATTATAGTACACAAACTGGCAACCTATATCTTTCAACAACAACAAAAAATGCTTGACAGCAATATAGCAAGTACACACGCAAGTGTCGAACCTTAATGCCATTAAATCCTTCAATAACATTGAATATCATCATCCTAAACATGCAAAACCAAAAACGTGACCAATCAAAAAACCATAATCCCATATGTTCAATTCCTATATTTCCTTCACTTCAAGAATCTTACTGTATTTGTCAATGGAAAAAGTTCTCCTCCTGACCAGTTTTGCAGCATAAAAATTACAGACAAACACACCATGAGTAAGAAAAGGAAAATTAACATTTTCACCATCAAAGGCAATAGATGGTAGAGGTATATAAGCAGTCACCTGCACATGCCACATTAATTGCCGCTTTGAGACCTGCGGAAAAATGATCAAGTTGCACTAATGAGTTACAAACAAGGCTAAAACAAAATGTAAAGAGTATTTTCGAGGATCGAGTAGGCTTTACATCATCATCATCAAAGAACTTGCATTCGAAGCAAAAGTAGTTCGCCATGCAAACTCCACATTTGATGCAATGTTGTTGAACCTATTACCTCTAATGAGAAGTCAAGAAACTAGATATGCATGTAGATATTTAAAATTTCACCACTGCTCCAACAAAAGGTACAAAGAACGTACATCTTGTTCTGTGTCACAAAGGGAGCAAATGACTTGTTACATAAAACATATGTGAGATTGCCAGAGAGTGAATTACACTTATAGTGTCCAGATTGTGACTAGAAGAAGGATAAGAAGCTATAATCCTTACCTAAAAAGAACTACTTCAATCTTTCTGATACGGATTTCTCTACTTTCTAACACACAAGGGAGTTAGATGGACCAAACCATCACTATCCTAAAAAATCACATAGAAAGTTTTGGATTTCAAACCCTCCCTCCTCCATTCCTCTTTTCAACTGCGCACCAAAAATTTCCCCAGGAACATAGCAGATAAATAAAGGGAAAATCTCAAACAATCCTAAAGATACATGACCCTCTGCCACCTACAACCACTGCCAACCATTCAATTCAAGGCGTGGTTGCCGCCACCGGCAACGCCCTACCTTCATCTAACCCATTGTCAAAGAAGATGTAAGTGGTTCTTCCCCTCCGCTTATTTGTATGAGCACAAAATAGCCCCTAATATCTCAGGGAATTGCATAAGACAATGAGAGAATTCAATGGAGGCTGACAGAAGAGACTAGAGATCGTATTAGGGATGGAGAAGTCGTTGGAGTGCGAGATGGAGGAAGATGGTGCTTGGTCGGGGTTTCATTTGTGTTGTTTTAGGTAAAACTATTTAGGAGAAAATTCAAATGAAAAACGAATTACGGAAAAACAAAAAAGAATAACACAAAAGAGAAGACGAAAGAAAGGACCGTTTGATTGGGTGGATGATGGGTTCGGGCCATCAAATTTGGACCAATGTATTAAACCGAATCAGTGCCACATCAGTTCCACGTGGCCAGTGGCCACCGCACTTTTTATGGCGGCCCAGTAGCATTGGCCCGCGATTATAGGTAGTCACTCGTCAGCGGAAAATAAGCTAAATTTATTTAGAATTAAAAAATACAAGAAGAACGAACGACTACGGAAACGCTAAACACTAAACAGAGATCGGGGGCCATCGACTCAGTCATCATCGTCTAACCAGTGACAGTAGTTCCGATCGGAAACAGCCGAACTGTCTGACTGACTGGCGATTGAGAAGAAGATAAAAAGAACCGTCTCCGTTCGCCGCCGCTTTGCTTACTGATCGGAAAAGCAAAGGAGAGACAGGAAATGGACGCGGAACTGCTCGAATTACAGCGCCAGTTCGAGTTCGCCCAGCAGGCGAAATCGAGCATCCGGTTATCCGACAGAAACGTAGTGGAATTGGTGCAGAAGCTTCAAGAGCTTCACATCATCGATTTCGACCTTCTCCACACCGTCTCCGGCAAAGAGTACATCACCCCTGTATGTACATATTTTCTGACTCTCCTATCTCAATCCCTCCCGCTTCTTCAGCGCCCGCCTTTGGCCTCAACGGAAAATTTCTAGTTCGAAATTGAGCTGTTAGACCTAATTTTTGCCTCACGAATAATGCATGTCAATTTCAGTGGTCGTAGTCAAAGTGTAAGAGTAGCTATCAAAGAGTTAGGTGCATTCAGTCAGCAGTATATGAGCAACTTACTGATCACTGTCCCGGAATAGTGTGTCGGAACGTTTGATTTTCCCCAATTTTATGATGCGAGAGTGCCCGTTGTATGACTCACTTGACGCGGGACATTTTGCTGTTCTAGTTTTGGGTCGAATGTTCTTAATTGTGAATCGATTTGATAAATGTCAATGCATTGGATAGGAGCAACTGCGGCGGGAAATCGTGGCGGAAGTAGGCAAATCAGGGCGTGTGTCGTTGATAGACCTTTCGGATGTTATTGGTGTTGATCTCTACCATGTTGAGAAACAAGCTCAGCAAGTCATTTCCGATGATCCTCAGCTTATGTTACTTCAAGGAGAAATTATATCTCAAAGTTATTGGGACAATGTTGCTGAAGAGATCAACGAGAGGCTTCAAGAATGCAGCCAAATAGCTTTGGCAGAACTTGCTGCACAGTTAAATGTTGGTTCTGAATTTGTAGCATCTATGGTGGAATCCCGCCTTGGAACTTTGGTAAGTTAGTGTTTAAATGTGTTTTTGTGGCCCTTCCTTCAATCCTTCACTGTTCCGGCTGTGGGGGTATATACAAACAATTTCATGAATAATTTTGGCATTTAGGTGAAAGGTAGACTTGAAGGTGGGCAATTATATACGCCAGCTTATGTTGCTAGAGTTAGTGCCATGGTTCGTGGTGCTGCCAGAGCTATCACCGTGCCAACCAACTTGTCCTTACTTTGGAGCAATCTACAGTTGCTGCTGCATGAAATGGATGGAGCAAGTGGTGTGGCCATAGAAAGTTCATTTTTCCAATCCATGTTCAATACCCTGCTGAAGGAAGGAGAGGTCCTTGGATCACTTCGCGCTGGAGTTCACTGGACACCAACTGTATGTTGTACTGCTTATGTTGAAACCTCGAGTAATACCACTACAAATTGATTTTGGTTGATGTGCATGTGTTCTAATGTCTGTATTTCCACATCCCAAATGATTTGTTAGAATCTCAACTTGTGAATGGGGTCTAAAGTAAAGGAACTTCCATAAGCTTGACTTGTGATGGTGAATTTTCAGTCAAGTTAAAAAATATTGTTAGTCTTATATTCAGTTATAAATGCAGCTCTATGCTAAAGGAGCTATTTGTGCATCTTAGGTGATTCTTTATTCATGGACATTCTTATTGTATTTATCTAGACTTACATTACAAAACTGAGGTGCAATTAGAACCTGCCAAAAACATGAATGATCTATTCAGTTTCCATGCCATCTATCATACCCATTCCTTTCTTTGCTTGTTTTTTTGTGGATTTATGTCTAAATATGACACTGGTGTTGGTTTTTGGTAGTCGGAGCCATCAGATGTCAGCTACTAATCTTCCTCTATGCGTAATATGTATAGTAATATAGTTTGATCATTAAATGTCAACAAGAGTGATGGATGGGCTATTGTCCTTTTGGTGCTTCCAGTTCCTGTGTCCATGGCATCCATTCTATAGCATGTTATTTTATTTTCTGTTTTCATTGTGCCACAGGTGTTTGCCAATGCTCAAAAGGAATGTGTAGATTCAATGTTCTCACAGGTCCATATCCTACCCTTTCTTCGTTTGTATATAATTTGGCCTTGTTTTATCTCTCTTTTTATCAATTTATCTGCACATTGAATCATGTGCTTGTCTTGCCCGTTTTATAGGCGCAATTTCGATGAGGAGTTCATTGACCCCTAGCATTTTTCATTATTTTCTGAAAGAGCTGCAATGTTTGTGATTTCTGATTGTTTTGCTCTTTGTTACAGAATTCTTTTGTTAGCTATGATGCTATGCAAAAGCTTGGTATTGCACAGGCTCTGCAGTTTTTACAGGTATCTAATAAGTTGCTTGAGTTTGTGTTTTTTTCCATTGAGATTCAGTTTAGTTGTCTTTAAGGTTGAAAGATCATTATACATTCAATGGTTTTTTCTGATCAAGTTTTTGTTTTCTGTTCAATTAGTCCAGATATCCTGATGGCATACCTTTAGATACTGTATTTGTGCACCCATCCATGATTGAGATGTTAGATACTTCTATTGAGGACGCTGTTGAACATGGTAGTTGGTAAGAGTTGTACTTGTATCATTCTATTATCCTTTTTTGGAATTCTTTTGTCTGTTCTGCATATTTATCTCAACCAAAATGTTTCGATGCAGTCAATTTTACCAGTAAATTTTCTTCACTATTTCAAATTTCATTCAATCTTTTCTCTGGAGGTGCTACTAACTCTTTTGAGGATTTTAAACTCCCATGACCTAGGATTGTACAGTAGGTTTCAATCTGGAAACACAAAACCAAGAATTTCTACTTGGTTTTAGACTTCCATATTTTGCATTGTAGTTAAGCATCGAAAGTTGCTTCTCTTGGATCGATGAGTTTTAAAATATTATTTCCCTTTTCTTTCCCTTAAGTTTAGCCACATCTGATTCCCATTTAAATTGTCTTATGTTGTGATTGATTTGATAATTGCAGGATTGATTCTCTTTCTGTATTACCTACATCGTTTGGGTCCCAAGATGCATCAAAGATTTTGTCACTTTGTCCTTCTTTTCAGTCAGCGTTGAAGGTAACATGTTTGCACCAATTGTTCTCGTAACCTTAACTGGTTCCATTAAGTAGTCACTGTTTTGTGCTTCCTTTCTCTTCAGGATAACAAAGGGCTAGTCTTGGGAGATTCATTTGTTTTCAGCAATGCTTTTCTCAAGGTAGGTTATTCAGGATTGAGCTGCTTGTTTGTACTCTCTACCGTACCAAGAGGTCTTGCTCATGTTTAATTTGATACTTTACAGTAAATCCAGCCTACTTCAAAATTGTAATGGGCGTTTAAATAGGATTTAAATTTGTATAGTCTTACTCTTGGAGCTTCTGGTCAGATAGTTTGGTCTGTAATGGTGAATCTGATGCCTGCAGTCTTTTCTTTACATGATCAGGATCTCTACGATCGTGTTGAGAAAGAAACAGAGACATTTACCTTCTCAGGTTCTTCTGGTGCTATCGTAACAGATGAGCCAATCAAGGAAGCTAAATCATCTGGAAGATCAACCGATTCAAACGAAACTGTTAATGATAGAAAAAAGAAAAAGGGGAAATCTGCTGGTCCGAAAGCAGAAGAAACCATTCCAGATGATGATTATGTTCCCATAAAGGGAAAGAAAAGCCAAAGGAAAGGCAAGGGTGGTGCATCTGGTCAAGTATCCGATTCAAAATCTGCTGCTAAGAAAGATTCAGCCAAAAAGCAAGAGGAGAATATTATCTATCCTTCAGAAGAATGGATTATTGAAAAGATACTGGCCTTGATTCCTGATCTTGAAGAACAAGGTCTTGTCACTTGTATCTTCTTCATTGTGGCCATTCAATATGTCGAGCATAAACCTCATGCCCATGTTTTAACAATTCCCAGGTATAGAAGATCCACAGACAGTATTGAAACCAATTGCTAACCATATGAGACCGATGTTGATGAGCTCTTTGAAGGAGAGAAGAAAGGCATTGTTTACAGAAAATGCCGATAAAATTAAACAGTTGCTTAATAATTTGCAAAAGAAACTCGAAGAGGTTAGTTTGAGATTCCCCTCATCTACATAGTATGTATATTATTCAGCATTCTGGTGCTTTTTTGTCAGGAAATTGCTTTCATATGTTATCATGTTACAAGCTGACTACTTCTGCCATTGTGCATTGCAGTCTTTCTTAAATACACAGCTGTATGAAAAAGCACTAGACTTATTTGATGATGACCAATCCACTTCAGTGAGTTTTGAAGCATTAACTTCATGTTCTTATTGGATTTTTTAACGTTCTTATTGGTTATATTCGTTCACATTACAAAAGGTTGTGGAGATTATGGCAAATCAGGGGTGTACTTTGTATGACAGGTAATTCTGCATAAGCATCTGTTAAGAACAATGGGTGCAACAATGACAGATCTTCTCCTGCATAACTTGGTATTGCTTGTTGCTATTTTGTCTTCCATGATGTGCTTTATACAAGCTTTTATGTTGAAGCAATTGATGATTTGAGTCTATGCTGAATGCTGATTTAGGATGTTCACAACCAATTGAAGAATGGAGTCTCGGTTGAAGAATCTTCAGAAGCCATAACATTGAGTTCTGCAGAAAGAACAGCTCTTGTACAAGCTTCTGCTCTGATTTTAAGCATATTGACATTGATCAGAAGTTTCATGCACGATAATGGTTTGTTTCTCATGGTGGTCCTACTTCTTATGCAGGCTAAAAGTTTTCCTGGATCCCTATCAAGGAAGGCTCAAGCACTTGTAGAAGCTCTAGAAGGGAAGGTATGTGCTTGGTACTGAAAGCATAATCATGCATATTTTGAATTTCGTTTTGAGTATTCGTTGTTTACTGCCATTAATTTTCTTGAATTTGGACTCAAATATCATATCTAACGGGGCCATGCCTAGGGGACCTGCATTCCAGTTGCTTGAAACAGTCGTGGTCTTATGGATTCCTTTCTGTATATGTTTCTTGCTTAACAGCTGTTCACAGAACCATTTTCTTGATCATCAGAAGCTCAACCCAACCACATCCTCTTAGCTTGATGATTAACCTATAACTTAAACTGCAAGTATGCTATAGACTAATCTAGCTTTTGTTGGTATGGTTAACCGTGACATAATAAGACTTTTGAGACAAGACTTCTTAGAATATTATGTGAGTTTCTGGCTACAGATATGAAACTGTTCCTAGGTCCACACCCCCAACCATAAAACAATGGTTAAGTTATCTTGAATTTTTAATCTGAACCCGCAGTTTGCCTCATCATTTCCCCTACATTATAATCCAGGATATGACAATGATGTGATCCCCACCTGTTAGATAATTTGAACTGCAATATGATCATAACGTATTTTGGTGCAATATTAACTTAAATTTTCATGTATCAGAACGTGGAAGGATTTTTAACTTCACTGCGGGAGACTGCAGAAGAGAGGTATTTTCTTTTTATCATTTAATTTGGGTTATCTAGAGAAGCTTCATTTTCATTTCCCCTCTGTTTATGGGGTCACTGCTTTCTTATTAACCATAGCATTTATATTTCTCTCTCAGTGGCTTATACTTGAGACAGCTTGACAAGAAATTGGAGAGAACTATTTTGCACGCATATCGCAAGGTATGCCCTCATTAGTGTTTAGGGTTCACTATTATACAATATCCCCACACAGTTCAAAAGGTGCAATAATGATTTTCATTTGTGTCAAAGGCGGTGTTTCCCATACACAGAAGTCAAACTTCCTTCAATCAACTCTGCTTGAAGTTTGGTTGCTTGTTTTATATATACTAAAGCTCTACATAGACGTCTTGCCTTCAGCTAGCTAGCTTTGTTTGTGTTGCGTGTGTGTCCATGTCTAAATTCGTTTAATTGATAATTAAAGTCAGCATAAATTTTTGTCGAATTGTTTTTATCAGTAAATATATTATGCTTCAGACTCGGAAACAGTTTTAAGTCTCTTTGTGCATGTATCTTCCTTATTTTTCAGGATCTGACAGCTCAAGTTTCTGTGGAAACTGATCCAGTTGCTCTTCTGCCTAGAGTTGTTTCCCTTCTTTACATCCAGGTGTTTATTTTAACTAATTATTCACTTTGGAATTCTCCTGCTCTGCAAACTGCAAATATGAAACATTAGTTTTCTTGTCTCCAGATTCACAACAAAGCTCTACAGGCTCCTGGGAGAGCCATTTCTATTGCAGTTTCTCGGTTGAAGGTATGTAATCTGTTTTCCAATGCGACTAATCAACGTGTTACAAAACCCAGTTTCAGAATCATTGAACAGTGCTATATGCTGTGTGTTATTTTCTTGTCCTGTAATTTTGTTGAACCTAATTTCTTGTATATTCTTTGGTCAGGATAAACTGGGTGATGCACCATACAAGATCCTGACAGATTACCAATCTGCAACAGTGACACTTTTGTCTCTGTCGTCGGCAGCAACTGGTGATGTAAGTGAGCATATTTGTATCCATTCGTCTAAACTAGAACTACATTTGCTAAAGAACAAAATTGCCAATACATAGTTGGTTCATAAGAAGGATATCGGCCATCGTCTTTGTTGTCGTATCACTCGGATAGTTACTTTCTTTGTCTCGTGATGCACCATGACACTAATTCGATGGTATTCTTTTCTTCCATTTGTGATACAGGAAGAAGACTGTACATCCGATAGAATTTTGAGCAAAAGGGAGCTTTTGGAGAACCTAATGCCTGCACTGAAGGGCCTTGTTCTGAGTCCCAAATTGCCACAGTCACAATCATAAGTTAGACTGTTTGTCAAAGTCGTATAGGGATTTAGAAGTTGAATCCTGTGGAGTTGTCCATGGCGGTTCTCTGATCCAATAGGCATAGCACACATCTTTGCATTTTCAACTGGGGGTTGGCTGAAGAATTGGATTTGACAAGCCTTTAGGTTGTGTTGTTGTGTCGTTATTTTCTGGGGAGGCCTAGCCGTTGATGGACTGTCTAGCTATTTTTGGTCGAGAAAGTATCCAGATGGACAGATGCCAAACAATTGTACTTGGCTTTGGTTTATACTACATGAGATGTGCGATATGTGAAAAAAGGGCGATTTACATAGAACCTTTTTGTATTAGAAACTTTGGGTTCAGATGTTGCTAATTGCACTAGCAATTTCTCAATGGGTGTTGTCTTACCAATAGGGTTGTTACTGTGCTAAGATGTTCACGAACGGAACTAGGATTGTCAATGAGATAAGATGTTCGCAAGCAGCTCAACTCGGGAAAAATTGGTTCAAATTTCATGTCATAAAGAGCTTGAACTAAGTCTTATTCAGGTTGCGAGGCTCACAAATCAGCTTGACTAAATGATTTGTTGAGCTCACCACGTTAACTGTCTCCTTTTTAGCTCAAGAGATGTCTCCACATTGTGCTGTCTTTACTACTACTATGAGCAAATCGGTATTTTTAGGAACTGGTTTGCAGCGAGGCATTAATCACTACAATCAGGACGAAGAGCACACAGGCTATTATTAACACCGTGCCTATGTACGAAAGCATAAGGCAAAACGCAACTCCATCCAGCCTACGGAATCCATACCTGTCCTACTTATCTTAGAAGCAGGGTGGCATCTTGATGGAAACTACTTGCCACAACAAGCATCTGACCATTGTCCATTGGGGATAGTACGTCCTACCGTCAACAGCGATGGATCGAGGAACCACCAATGATAGCCTGCCTAATCCAGTAGTTCTCTAGCAACGTCGACAGCGCGTGCCACGATTTTATGACAATGAGGCTCAAGGGATCAAGCGTTCTTATCATCAAAATGGATTAAAATGTCATCGGAAATATTTACCGCAACTAACTGAGCTGATTGAGCTACTAAGAGCAAAGATTGACAAAGTACAAGTTACTGCCAAATTCAAGCAACATTAAAACTGAAGCCGACCACTGCCGTGCCTCCTAATGAATGTCAAGCTGGAGACCCATGACTGACTGAGCTTTACAATCTACAACTAGAAAAGAAATGACCTGCTGTTAGTGTTGAGGCAGACCTGGTCTCTTCTCCACTGAGTCGTAATTCAATACAAAATTATCCTGCATCCAAAGTTAACACAAAATCAGCCATCGATAGCATCGTCCAATAGAAGCGAAGGGCATTTACAGCAAATGTTGCAGCAGGGAAAGTGGGTCCAAACCTTGCGGATTATTTCAAATGTGTTGGGGTCAAAACAGTGATAAGAGCCCCTCTCGTAGGTGGGCGTCTTAACCAGTGGCTCGACGTTCGGTACTCTTATTAACCATAACCGTTGCTCTTTGTGATAGATCCAGCCTCTGTTATACCTGCCAAATATAAAGAAAATTTATCACGATCTGAGAATGTAACCACCACAGACCTGATTTAGTATGCTGTTTTTATGCAATTAATGAATTTCCTCTGACGCTACAAATAGGGGTGTTCAAATGGTTACCATGGTAATAACTAAACCAAATAAGTCTAAAATCTATTAACCATGGAATACAATATCATAACCAAACCGTCCAAACTAATACAACAACCAAATTAACCAAACTGAAGTTTATTCGGTTTGGTTAATTGGTTAACCAAAATAATCAATATAACACCACATTATCATTAAGTGAGAAATTTTTTTCAGTTAGTGCATCAATTTGCAATTTATATAATGAACAACACATAACAATCCACATAATTATAGTTAACCCTTAATGTAAATACATGTAACAAATACAATTATCTTACATTTGACTCTTGAGTGGTTATGCAAAGTATTAAGTATGTGTATATAATATATATTAGATATATGACAAATTACTTAACTGGTTAATTTGGTTTGATTGGTTAGGAGTGTCTGAAACCAAACCAGACCACCTAAACCAAACAAGCTAAATTTTTTAACCAAACCAAACCAATTATCGAAATTAACCAAACCAAATTAGCCAAATACTACTGGTTAAAATGGTTACCATGGTAACCAAACCGTTTGAACACCCCTAGCTACAAATAGAGGAATGCAGGATGTGTCGGACTAATATCAGGTCCAACCATCACAATAACCATCCGGAATTGCATGAATAAAAATGCACTGATAAGTACCAATACGGCAATGCCCAAACAGAAGTACAGTACAGCGACAGACAACGGAACTCAAGTAAGAATGCGAAAAGGGAAGTTGAAATGATGCAATTGTTTTCTTACAGTTCATTGGCAGCATATAGTTGAGCTTCATCTTTCGGCATGCTGAAACAAAACAGGGAATACATAAAAGGCAGTCAGAACAAGAATGTTGGGAACGTTAGAAAAAGAAGAGTCAGAAAGTAGACAATTCACCTGTAGAATATGTAAAACAACGTTTCGACCGTGAACTTTGAAAAGTATCCTTGCTGAAAACGCCACCAAAAGCACACCAGAATAGCACCAGGATTAAAATAATAAGAAAAACAGATGGCCACGTTATTAAGAAATAGGAAGAGTAGCAAGGGGAAAGGTCATAAACAAAAGGCCATATCAGCTTACATGTAAAACAGGTGGTTGTTTGGCATGATAACATTGAGGCACGCTGAACTCAGGATCACCCTTGGCTGGCTCATCAGACCATGGAGAGCCAAATGTTTTGTGAAGATTTTCTGCTGAATTGAGATTCAATCCCAGAGTCGTCAAGTCAATTCCAAGTGCCAAAGACGTCAGATCAGGATTACTCATCCGTATAACACTTAACAACCCAAGTAATCCAAACTTTTCAGCAACTGGCTGTGTTTGCATGGATTTCATTCCTTGATCCCTGAAGGACTGATTCACTGCGGACATTTGCTGCAGTCTAAACTGCGACTGGCTTTGGTGATTATGATACTGCTGCATAAGATCGTATGATCCGATACCAGATACTGAATTCCCAGAACTTAGAGGTTTCAACCCAATTCCAGGTGGGCCATTGTTCTGAAGGAAACATGAAAATATATCAGTCACGGCAAACTTCTGAGGAGCACAACATTGACAGGACACACAAGTCCATACTAGATGCTGAACCCATAATTTTAAGAAACAACTTTATTTGAACAGTTTATTCAATCAACTAGTCAAGCAGTACCCTTCCGCGCAACACACCTGTGAGTGATAGTTTGAATGTGAAGATGGAAATATATCTGAACCATGAAGAAGATCTTGATTGTTCACAGACGGGAAGGAGACACCACCGCTACTGACAGCTGGGGCATGTTGCTGCTGTTGCTGTGGACGATATGAAGAGTATGTCCCCCCTATATTGAACCCAGAGGATCTCCCCATCTGCAGGGTAGCGTAAGTATCAGATGCAGCAGATAAAAGAAACTACCATGGCAAATTCTCACAAACTCACGGAAAAGTGCTGAGACTGCATCATTGACATTGTGCTGTCATGCAATTGTTCTTTCTGGTGCATATCCATCCCATAATCGGCATTTCCACCTGAACAAAATCTAGCAATTATGGTAAGAAGCCACAAGGTTGCAGAGACATTACGAATAGGTTGCACAAGGGAGCATTTCATTACTTCAAACAATGGCATAAAAATGTCAATTATTAAATAATGCAATATCGGTATCCTTTTTATTTGATGAACTCCAAACCAAGAGTATTTCAGCAGTTAACCAGATCATGTATACAAATACCACTGAGAGGTACCCACAATAACTTTCCCTAGAAGATTTACTATAAGCAGAGATTGCCATATTGCAGCAATCGTTTATGCAGGTTATTCTCGGGGGGAATATGGCCAAAACCTTTAAATCCAGGTAATGCTGGGAAATCTTCATTCTGTATGCTAAACTCTTGGTTTTGCTGAACGATGGGACTTACTCCAAGACCTTGCTTTCGCAGAGAACCTGGAATAATGTGCTTCAAAAGTCATCTTCTATTTCAAGGGGGTTAAGCAACTAGAGGGAGACAAAATCCCAATGGAAGATCACATTTTTCCTTACCCAGTTGTCCTTGAGGCCCCCCTGCAGAGTTGGGTCGACTTGTCAATTGAGGGAAATCATTGTTTATGTCAAAAGGCGAGCTGTCATTGGAGTTTACATCACCCAACATTCCCATAGAGCTTAGGTTGTTAACTGCTTGGACATGATTTTGCGAAAGTGGTCCGCCGCCACTAGGATAGGAGTTTCCTAACATGGACATCACTTGAGGAGATCCTGCATAAAAGAAAAATAGGATCAAGAAAAGAAAAGGATTATATAAGCTAGCAAAGTATAACTGGGCTCTATTAGATGAGGGGCAAAAATGACACCGACACTTTCACCCAATACATTGATAAAGAAATGGGAACAACAATGATGAAAGAAGAAACCATCTGATGGGACAAGCAATTCAAGGATTGCAGCTCCATAAAAACTTAGACATGAGCACCAAAAATGAGAGGGACCTGACAGTAGACCAGTGAACCAAGTAGTACCTTGTGGTAGAACACCGCCCATGAGTCGATTTTGTCCCTGCACACTTAAACTTCCAGATCCACTATTTGCACTTAAGTTTAAACGAGACGCAAGCCCGGGTACGGATAATCCTCCGCCCGGGTTTATGCTCCGCCCAATGTTGCCCCCTCCAACCATGTTACCCATCGAACTTGTAATCCTAGGACCTGCATTTCCCAAAATTGGGGACACTCCCAATCCTGGAACAGCATTCCGGTTACCAATGGCAGCAGATGTAGGGAGAATCCCAGGAATAGAACCACCAACTCCATTTGTGTTACTACTATATCCAGGGTTTCCTACAACACTTATACCTCCTCTATTGGTTACTCCAGAATGTCCCTGTGAAGTTGCATGAGATAACTGCAGAGTAAAGACACTCAAATATCATTTAGTATACTAAAACTTAAAACAGTATTTCAATCAAGCAAGAATATGACTCATATTGCTTCGACACAAAACCATATCAGTACCTGCGATAGGGCCACCGGAAGATTATTTGAAGCAAACCGTCCACTAGAAAGGCTACCTGTGGGTTGTTGAACAGCACCAGATGGCACATTGTTCATTGTAGAGTTTCTTGATGATAGAGTGCCCGGCATGTTGGGGACATTAAAGCTCCCATGGAGGTTGTGAAGTCCCTGCATAGTTCCTGAAAACAAGAAATCAGATTAGCCCAACATTCAGGACATTGGCCAAACATATAGCCAAATATACCCACCAGAGTGATGAAACACAGGAGATCCTGCACCAGACTGGCCAGAGAACGATGTAGTGAAAGGCCTCCCACTGCTATCAGGAATATTTGAGGCTGAACCATTCAGAGAAGACTGCAACACAAGGGCACCAAAGCATGTAACTATTTCCAACTACTGGTGGAAATCCAAAACTCCATCACGACATAGAACGACCCAAAAAATACAGCAAGGCAGAAGCAAAGGCGAATAACATTGCATTGCAAGACAGCGACTAGTACAACTCAGAAGCAACAATGAATCAAAACATTGGTCAGGTTAGAAAAGTGCTATATTACTGGTGCAAATATTTTATGTTCAAATCAGAACCAAATTGTTGAACTTGCATAGCTACTCCAAAGTAAATGAGCCTGTAGTTCGTACTACTGCATGGCTGATGCCACTAGCATTACTGCTCTATCATGCAGAAGGAATGCATTCACATAACCTACAACACTAGAATCACTGAAAGAGAGAACCGTGACCAAAAGGACAAACAAATTAACAGTTGCAGAACAGTTGCAAGCAATGACTAGCTTAGAGCTTTACAAATAGAAGACCGCAAAAGCTTGGAAAATTGATAAAGAAAGATGTCAATACATTAAGTAGACCCGACATTGGATATATGTCAACAGGTCATGTGAAAAATCATTCCTTGGTAAGGAGCAGCGCTTCCTTGCGTTGAAGCAAGAACAACAACAAGACTATCAAAAAGCTTCCAACTTCGGGGCTGAAACGAAAAAAGACAGTTGTGAGAAAATAACCATGCTCAGAAAAGTAAAGGACATAACATAAGCAAAATAAGGTACAGTCCACTGAACGTAACGCAAAGTAGATTGAGATGAGTTCTAAATGCTAATGATACAGCCTCACTGAGCAAAAGGAGAGCACAGGCATTGTACGATGCATAAATTACATCAGCCTAGAATGCATTAAAAAACACAGATATCATGGCAACCAAAATTGCATCAAATGACCCAACAGGACAAGATAGTAGTTTGGAAAAGATCGAGCAAACAAGGCAAGAACAAAAAACACTGAGCAAATCCATGAATAACTGAAAAGCAGACTAACATTGAACGAACAACTCCCGATCTCCAATTAAGCAAAACAATCTGAACCACTAAGTTAGGCAATATACGCCTCTTTCCACGGACAACAAACAAGTTGGAGGGCAAAAACCATCTAAACTGCACGTTTGAACCGAACTAAACCATGTAAGAAACAAATGCAAGTCGAAGATTTCTATTGCCTCCACGATTTCAGTAAACTCCACGGGAACAGAACGACCAATACGAATTCGACACTTCCGCTTACACAATCAATACAGTAGCAGGTGAGTATCTATGCGTAACGAAAGGAAACCGCTCAACTGTCTCCGTATCTCCTTATTTCCGATCCTCATTATCTCAACAACCGAACAAAAAATGGAGTTAAACAAACAGCCACCAGAAATACTCCAGTCTACTGGCAATCAAATTCAGTCAATAATTGCACTTTTTGCCCAAGCAAGATGTTGAAGAAAAGCACGTCCAACAACAAAAAAGCGATCCTCTCCGCAAAAAAAACCTAGACGATAGCTTAATGTATTCATTTCAATACACACAGTAGCTCCCTCCATGATCGAACTCAGAAAGAACGAAGAAGCCGGTGGGGAAGATTGAACAGAGGGCGAATGGAGATCGAGCTCGCGAGTCAGGAAGCGGTACCTGAGAGGCGGATCGGCGAAGGAAACAGGAGATCGTCTAAGCTTGTGTGGTGAGTCAAACGTGTGCGAGTTTGGAGGGTTTTGCCCTAAATCGAGAGAAGGGAATGAGAGGAGAGAGAGTGATAGAGATGAGTCTGTGTCTCTGTGAAGATGGAGTCGCAGAGAGAAATTTTTTATGGAAAGGTATATTTTATTATTCATTTATTGTTCTTTTATTTTTTCCGGGTTAATGTCATATTTGGTCACTGTAATTACTAAATTGTGTCATGTTTAGTCACTAGAAAAACTTTAGTATTAAATTTGGTCACTATAATTATTAAAATAGATCATATTGAGTCACTCTCCGTTAGTCTCCGTCCAACTCTGTTAATGAAGTCCGTTATGTGCTGATAGCCTGATATGGCTAACGAATGCGCCTAGTCAGCGCCTTCTTGACCTAAAAATCATCAGACCAGACCCGATCCGTTAGTCATCTGAAAATGGCCACTAACCAGATGATTTTCCAATTTTGTTTTGTTAGGTGGGTTAGGGTTTGGTTTTGGGTCGGGTTGGGTTAATGGTTGGGTTGGTGTATGACATGGCGGGTGAAACTAGCGTGGCGGGTCGGGTCTGATGATTTTTGGGTCAAAACGGCGATGACTAGGCGCATCCGTTAGCCACGTCAGCACATAACGGACTCCACTAATTGTAGTGACCCAATATGACCTATTTTAGTAATTGTAGTGACCAAATTTGATAATAACTTTTTCTAGTGACTAAATATGACGCAATTTAGTAATCACAGTGACCAAATATGACATTAACCCTTTTTCCGGGCATTTCTATTCGTCGCTCTAAAATATCTTATTCGTCGCCCTAAATTTTATCGAAATAACTCAAATATCCTTAGTTTAATATTTGTAATGCCTGGCTCTCGGTATCATTCAGTGGGATGGAGATAGATTTCTCCCTAGAATGTTCTTCGATGGCTTTCTTTCTAGAAATCACGATCCCTCGACTTTACTTGTATGGCTGATTTTACTGGAACAAATTGTTGCTCGTCATTTCAATTCTTAAGGGGCTAGTTTGGAACTCTTTCTGAAAAATTGTATGGATTGTGTTCAGTTGATTTCAATTGGAAACTCTTACTCTAAACCTCATGAAGTAACCTAAGAAGAAGAAAATGAAGTTAATTCAAGGTGTTTCTCACTGGGAATGGGATTATGTTGTTGGAGAGAAGGTTTCTACCAACTCTTGACAAAAGGAGGGCTGTGGGTCGGAGTGAAGAATCCGGCAGCAGCAGGAGGTGGGTGGCGGCCTCCTTTTCTCTGTCTTCTTCCTCCTCCGGCTAGAAGCAGAGCATCGGCTGCGGTCGGGTTGAGGTGGGCAACTGCCGGGGAGAAGGATCCGTCGATCCGATAGCGGCAACAGCGCCTGGAGGACAATGGAGCTCGGCGGCAGCTAGGCAGGGTATGAAATTGTTTGTTTAAGGTTTGGGTTAATTGCATGGTTGGTCACTGAGATTACAAAAAACGTTCATGTTTGGTCACTGTAAATATTTAAATCCAATCTTGGTCACTCAAATTAGTTAAATGGTTCAAGTTTGGTCACTCTCCGTCCAACTCCGTTAAATTTGTCTGATATGGCAGTCAACCCTCAAAGTTGACCGTTAACTTAGTGACGTGGCAATTAAAAAATAATAAATAAAATAAATTTTAATCTTCTACTATTTCCAACTCATTTTCACTAAAATAAAATAAAAATTACAATTACAAAATTATGAGAGAGACTAACCCTACCCGGATCCGGATTAACAATGACCCGCTCCGACTCCTAGCCTTATCAGGAACGGCGCCCCCTCTTTCGTCTTCTTAACTTGATACCAAATTTTCCCCGGAAAACCAAATTGAGGAGCAGAGCAGAGGCAATCAATCATGGTGCTTATGCTCTCTTCACAGACCGGCGCAGTCCTCCAAGCTCCTCCGCTCCACAGGCACAAGCCCGGCAGGATCACGGCCTCCGCATCTCTACCATTGCCGAAACCTCTGTCACTCTCCCATCGAATTAACGCCCCAAAGCCCAGGGTTAGGGTTTTCGGCCAGTTCCGCAGCCTCGAGTGGATCTCACTCGCCGGCAATCTCAAGTGGTCAATGTATACGAGGCCTAGCGAGATAGGAGTCGATGCAATGACCGAAAAATTCGTCGTCCACCAGGGTCAGATTTATGGCTACCTTGATTACTATAAAAATTGGTGGAATCGTGCGGCGAGCTTTTACATATAGTCGAATGTTTAGCCGGCGAGTGTTTCGGGGAAGACGATATCGGGGCTACTACAGGCGTGAGAGTCTACAAGCTGGATTTGGCCGAAGCGGGCGGGGATCTGGCCGGAGAAGCTGTTCCTCTGGAAGTCGAGGTGGCGGAGGTCGGCGAGAGTTGGCGGGATGGGGCCTTGGAGGAGGTTCTGGGAGAGGTCGAGGAAGCGGAGGGCGCGGCAGGCGGAGATGGTGGCGCCGGGGAGGGAGGAGTTGATGGAGTTGTTGAAGAGGGAGAGGGAGGAAGCGCCCTTTATTTGTAATTATAATTTTTTTATTTTACTTTAATGTGAAAATGAGTTGGAAATGGTAGAATATTAAAATTTATTGTATTTATTATTTTTTAATTGTCACGTCACTGAGTTAACAGTCAACTTTGAGGGTTGACTGCCACATCAGACAAATTTAACGGAGTTGGACGGAGAGTGACCAAACTTGAACCATTTAACTAATTTGAGTGACCAAAATTGGATTTAAATATTTACAGTGACCAAACATGAACGTTTTTTGTAATCTCAGTGACCAACCATGCAATTAACCCTTTAAGGTTTTGATTAGAAATTGAGGTCAGAGGGTAAAAGTGTCAATTTGATGCATTTTAGGGTGATAAAATCTAAATTTTAGGGCGACGAATAGCAATTCAGTTTTTTCCTCAAGGTTGTCAAACCGGTTCATACAATATATCGGTTTGAAAAGTGGTATGGTCCGGCCGGTGGTTAACAGATTATAAGTAAGGAAGTAGGAATCATTAACACTAAATGATTTAGACCATATATACAACATATTTGAAGACAATATCTCTAAAATCTACATCTATATATATATATATATATATATATATATATATATATATATATATATAAAAATAAAATACAACATTTCATACAAAATGAAAATATAATATTTAAATATAACATTAACGCCAATATTACTTTCAAATTTAAGTTTATTTAAATTAATAAATTTATAATACTTGAATCCAACAAATAACATCAATATTACTTTAAAATTTGAGAAACAACTAAAAAAATTAGTCATTAAAGATTAAACTCACCAAAACTATATCATTTTGTTTAAACATCTAAAATCAATAATGTCAGACACATTGGAGGAATTCCAATAAGATTTGTAATCGACATCAATTGTACCTGTCGGCATGCCACTAGTATGACAACTATGGACGAGAGCGGATCTGGTGACTAAGGGGGGGGTCCTTAGTCACTTGACTAAGCCCCTCCTGGCCATTAGATCTGGACACTTCAATCCAATGGTTAAAAAGTGGGAAGGGCTATTTAATTAAGGACATGGGTAGTTTGGGTATTATGGAAAATTACGAAGTATACAAACCAGATTTATAATCAGTACAAACCATACAAACATACGAACAGTACAAACTAGAGCGACAAAACATACAAACGGATTTACAAACATTACAAACGTATGAACTGTACAAACAATACAAACTAGACTGACAAACAATACAAACCATACAAAAAGAAAAAACAATCGGGTTGACTTTGGAGGCTCCATCCCTATATAGAGGGGCTCCTTCCCAAAGTCAACCCGGGTGTTTTTTAGACATACAAACAGTACGAACATGGTTGACAAAAATGACAAACTAGACCGACAATCCATACGAACTGGAAAAAACACCCGGGTTGACTTTGGAGGCTCCATCCCTATATAGAGAAGTTCCATCCAAAAGTCAACCAGGTTGTTTTTTAGACATAAAAAAACATTACAAACATGGTGAACAAAAATAACAAAGTTTACAAACATTACAAAATAACAAAGCGTACAAACATTACAAAATATGTAAACAAACATCACAAAACACTATCGCCGGAAAATTCTTCTCCGTCAACGATGGTCGTCGGAAAAAAGTTTCCGACCAAAAAATCTCTCTCTCTCTCTCTCTGCCACACCAAAAATGGTGGCGGTGGCCATGGGCCAAAATTAAAGAGCCGCCGGCGGGAAGGGCAGCTCTCTCTCTCTGGGAATTCCCCTGGACAAAATAATGGCGCATGAGGGAGAGAATTCCCCTGGGCGGCAATTAAAACATAATGGCGCGAAGGTTCCCCTGGACCACCGCCGGCAATTAACGACGGAGACGGGAGGCTCCAGACGGAAACGCTGGCGTTTTTTTTCATTTTATAATTAAAAGTAAAAAATAAATATATAATTACTATTGCCCTTCATTAAATTGGATTAATTGAAGCCCTTTGATTTTAATGAGGTTGAGTGGCTGAGATTCACTTAGCCATGTGACTAAGGGACCCCCTTAGTCACCTGATCTTAGCCCACTATGGACTCAAGCTAAACCCGACGGGAACTCAAGCCAAATGGGTCATACCCTATAACATCTCCCTCTATTATGCCTTTTTTATGAATGGTGGTGTATATCTACTATTTTTCTATTAAAAATATTATTGTAGTTTAGAAACGTCACCAAACACGCCTCTTTGTTAAAGTTTCTGTCAAAAAACAGTTAACCATGGTCCAATTATCTAAAACATGCCTAAGAATTTGACTAATTTTTCTTTTGTTTATTTTGTATAGTAATATCCTTAATAATTTCACTCTAACGAGATTCAGATAAATAATCAATCGTTGTTGACGCTTTTTAGATGAAAGTTTTAACATAAGTGTATGTTTGATAACGTTTGTAAAATGCATGGTTATGTTTTATACAAAATAATAAATAAACATATTTGATAAAGTTACATAATAAAAGACACATTAAACCAATAAAAAAGAACTTGCTAGTCGACTTGAAATTGAAAATTTTCGACGGTAGATAAGGGATGGAATCACCTCTAGGAATGACAATGGATCGAGTTGGGTCGTTTCTCAAAACTGAAACCA